ATCACCAAACATTCTCAATGACGACATTTCGCTCAGTCACATATGTAGAGAACGTTCGTTTGAATAATTTGACGATTTCATTGCGATAAACATCCGAATGTTGTACGGACTATCATTCGCCGGCTTGAGTACAACGGCAAGCAACTGGCGTGCTTGGAAACGCGCAATCCAAAGGAATCATTCCTGACCAGTATAAAGGATGGTGATTACCACCGGAATCGCGCAGACTCGTTTGAAAATCAGCGACGTAGTTGAAGTTTAACAACAATCGCAGCTGCACTGCTGATCCCAATTTGAACTCCATGCATACTCCTGCTTACCATCTAGGCGCACATTTTACACTATCACCGCGTTGCAATTGGCACAGACTGCCAGTAACAATTGTGGGGGCATTGTGTAGAATTGCACGGGCCTGAAAGCCATCACACTGCACAATCTGCCTAAAAACCCGATGAGTGCAAGCTGATGCGGTTAGTATTGGCCAGGCGAATGCGGCCTCGGTTTAACACCTGTTAGTGACTTGCTCTTAAATTAGTTGCAGTAGGAGTCTGCTAGAACTGATATGCATAAATAGGGCTCTTACAACTACCTGTCACGGACTAGCTTGCATCTTGCGTAAACCCATTAGCTCCTTACACGGATTCGGTCATATGCTTCTCACTCTCATCACCGCAGTACAAATTCCTTTATATCGCCACACATCCCTTAACACAAACTATTTGCTAGTTCTACGGAGAGCATGCTCGACTCTGAAGTGGAGTATCCGGGTTTCCTTCAACAGGTCTCCTCTCAAATTACCTCTCATCAGCATACGATCGCCCTTACGTAGTACGTCAATTTTGACGGGAAACTAGTCGGAAACGTTCTGGAAAAAATTCAGGTGCTCTGGTAGTTTTGCTTTAATTTTTTAACCCGCCAGTATTACTAAACTGGGTAGGTCCAACCAAACCAAGGCCAGGTTTTGTCTATGTCTTCACTTTGTAAATTTGGCATCAATTGTCGGCAAGAATTGACTGATGTGAACTAGTGGCATCACCCTGGGTCTCCTTGCCCATCTCACGTAATCTGGGCTCTAACCAGTGCATCGACAAAATGCATCTGACTTCCAGACTGATAGAAGCTTACCAACGTGCTTCTGAAGTAACACCAGCATTCTATGAACACGCTTTTGTGCTGCACTCAAAAGCATAGTCAGGAATTTGCCTGACGAATCGAGATCAGCAAGCAAAATAAATTTTCCGCCGAACTTGCAAAAGACGTTCGATCCCCGACAGTTACATATTTGTTCCTGCAGGTGAGCCATCGAGATCATACAACGCAAAGAAAGATCCCGAACCTCTCTGTACGGTGACACACTGAATTCGAACAGCCATTCCAGTGGGAATATGCAGTGGAAGGTTTGCGCATTCAAAAATGTGGAGGAAATATTACTGGTGATTTGTGCACAGATGATGAACATATTCCTGGTAAAATTGTGCAGTTTTTTTCCTGGGAAATCGATCAACAAATCACTTGTGTTACATCGCAGAGATTTATTTCAGAATATCAGATAGCGTAGTTTGAATTAGTGTTTGGACAATCCACGTTAACGCCGTTCCTTATGCAACATTAGCCGCTCGAGTTCTCCTAATTGTGACCAGTTCGTATCCTGGAAGGTTTGTTTGTAGTTGGTGTCCCAAAATCGTTGTTTGTTTACGGTTGCATGACAATTTCGGCCGAATAGCTGACCATATCAGATGAAGCTCTTCGAAAGATGATCTTGGCTAGAATCGACCTTCACATACTCTCTGTGAAATAATGAAATGCTTGATCGGGAATGGCAGAGCCGATTCCGACGAATATTGCATGGTCGTGATGTTCTTTAATTTGTGTCAGGCTCCAAATCCAATCCGTCCAATGCTCACTCATCATACTGAATATTTGATTTTCCGGACAAGCAGCGACCGCGTTTAGCGCATGATGAGTTTAAAATATTATGTGAAAACTGCAGAGAACCGGAAATATTTAGAGAAAACGGTGCGGTGTTTTATTACGAAATAAAACGTGATTTTTCAGAAACACAGCCGACAAACCAGCAATTGCCATTTGACTGGGTACTTGCAAAGATGTCACAATTTTGACTGTGGTTTTGGCCAGGTATTCGCTTTACCAAACGTGTTCATACCTATCTAAAATGCATTTCCTTCAAAATGGTTTTCCGTTCACCCAGATCAAAATTTATTTCGACAAATAAAAAAATAAGTACAGAAAATGATTACCGTACCCTAAATTATACAAGCGTATTACGCGAATTTCCACGGGCGAGCTGACTTTAACATGTATGAACGGAGTTTTCTGAATTACAGAAATTTTTCTCTCCGCTTCTCGGCCGCCAATGCTGCGTCTTGTGCTCGTTCTTATACACCTGGATTATACATATTCTAGTTTAGAAGACTAGAAGTATTTGAAAGTATTTGCCGAAAAATTTGAGAACGAAATAACATATTGTGTCACAGGTCTGAAAAGCTTACATCCAAGTAATTCATAGTACAACATATGATGAAACGGTGTACTGAATTGAGACATGAGCAGGATGGCAGTAAAAGCTTTTGATTTTCGAATTTCAATCGCCCGAACTTAAATGACACCAAAATATATCCCATTACAGCGCTTCGGTGTAGGGTCTGAGGTCCATTTAAATCGTTAGCGTTTTAAAATTAGACGGTGCACTACAATGGTTATCCTGAAGCTGGTGTCATGTAGCCCAAATCTGTTATTCATTTTTGGCAGAAATTAATTGCTCGTATTATCCAGTTGAGCGTAATTTCAAAATTGCTGCCATTTTAGAGCAAAATGCTTTGTTATTCCATCCAACTTGCTTCAACAGGTAGCAATGGCCGTCTGTTCTACTGAATTGGCACGATTTAGCTCAACCACTGCTGTAGCAGCTATGTTTTAGTTGCAAACATGGGGGCTGGAATCCATTGGCCCTGGTACATGTGATTGAAATACCAAGGTTGATAGCGTGCACACACTGTTGGCGTTGAGTAGATTTTTTTACAAAGCAGGCAAAAACCGACATTGGTTACGCAAAAATCTTACAACTTATTGCTTGCTAGTCGCAAAGCAACCCAAATTATTTTGTCAATATTTTTGAGCACCTAACTTCCGAGTTCAGAATAGCAAGGAATTTTCTGTTTTTGTACCGAGGTTTTGCGATACAATATAGCATCTGAGGAGGCCGGAAGTCAGGTCAAAACGGTAGGCTCGCTAAATGTTCTCTGAATTTAATCGGGTACATTATTGGTTGCAATTTCGCAGCGAAACACCCTAAGAGGTCCAGGGGTTGCAGTTGTCAAAGTGTATATAAAACAAAAGGAGCTAGCTGGGATCAGCACCATATGTACAAACAAAACTAAATAGAACTCAAGGAAACATTTGATGGTTAAATTTCTCTGAAGTCTTGGTGATGTCAGGTTAAATTAGAAAACACTTGTGGTTGAGACCAAACTCATTACCCATATCCGGAGTCTAATGGGAGTGAAACAAATCCGGAATTTTCATTATTTTGCATTACGCTGCATGCTATAACAAGCAAACGTTGCCTGTGTTCGTAATGGCGTTATACCGCATTATCCAAACTGCTGCAACAAGTAGGGCTTAGATATACCGAGCGGCTGATTCAGAATGGCGTCCTAACTCAAACGACCGTCCCACTATTAATGGAGAAGAGAAACGATTGATTTTCTAGTAATGAACCACGCAAATGCGGTACTCCACACTAAACTCGCATGAGCAATGCAACGTTTTGGCCAATTATTTGAAAACGGTGACAGAAAATTATATATTTCCAATTTTTAGGGACGGTTTTAAGGTGGATGTCAGAATGTTTTCGGGAATCATTGTTAGACTTGTTATGTTTCTTCGGCAGTATTTTTTTTCAATGGGCTTCCATGCTTTGACAACGCGCTGCCCTGAGAGTCACACCATTCTACGTAGGGCGTGTGCGGCTATGTTTCAAATCGCAGGATGTGGTGCGCCGGATAAATCGGACATAGTGTGCACTATAAACTTGTAGCTAAGAAAATACCTTTGGGGACATTCTTCGAATGATTTTCTAAGACCTAATTGAATGCTGAATTTTTCATACGCCGACCTGCGGCATGACATTTTCCTAGATATTTCAGACTACCACTCTAACAATTTTCGGGATAAAGCACGGGACCGGGCTTTTCGAAAGCAAAGATTATAATCTCGTCCTCAGGGAAAACGCTAAATTAATGAGGGCCCAAAAACCTAATTTTTCCCTGCAAATTATAGCGCTGATGATAAACTGCATATCAATCTATTCGCGCCTCGTTGATTTTCCCGTCTTCGTTTACTTCGGCCCAAGCACCCGTACAGAAAGTATCTTTGTCCAAAACGTGGTAAACATGCTTCTGTTTTGTGGAGACTTCTTCCATAAATGGAAATAATTTCTGCTAGAAACGGCGCAAACTTGCACATATGTTACACTCTTATAGAGAATAAGCAGCAACATCCTTTTCTATAACGTTCATCCAGTTTTGGAAATCTGAGCTCCGAATTTTAGTCCTTGACGAATTCAAAAGTTGTACGCAATCGAAGATGACTTTATTAGAAGAATGCGTACTGCCTACTGGTGAAAGGAAGAAGGCCTTCGCTCCGAAATCATTTATTCGGAATTGTCAACTAACCGGTTACACACCATTGAACAAGGAAGCAAAACTTTAATCTGCATCTTAGTTACAAAAACTGGACACGGATGTTCTCCCGAGCGAGTATTCCTGGAGATTCACTGCCTTCAATCATTCTTCGGTCAAACAAAAGCAAATGTTACAAAGTGGCCCCACGAATTCCGCAACAGTATTCCCTTTTTCATTTGACGCAAAGGGAAATTCTACTAACAGCACATACTACACGCGTGCCTCCCGATCATTAACATCAACGTTACACACGTCCACCCGTTAGAGCTCGTTCGCATGCCGTCGATTTTCATTTACCTCCTTTGAGCCGGCTTCGGCAGCGGGTCTTCTCGGCCACACTTCGGGTGTATCATGCCACTTGCGAAGCTGTGTCCCATTCACTACTTTCGATCCCGACCATCTAAAATGGTATACACGTTCCCCCGGCGGTTGGTGACGACAAATGGCCCTTGCCATTGACTGCATAGCTTCCGGGACCCCCGTCCACTTCTGTCATGGTTCTGGTGATCCTCACACATGACCTTCGTGCCTATAGGGAACGTTCGGACCTTTCTACTTGCCGTTTTCTGCCTAGTCCTTTCCTGAACGGCGGTCAAATTTTCTCGAGCTCTCTTTCTTTCTTCCTGTAGCCCCTCCATCATCAAGATGTATTGGTTCCCACTGGATGCCACCGGGAATGGACCCATGACGTCAACTGACCACAACTCGCCGATTTCTGAGACATAAATGGGTTCCATAGGATGGGTTGCCCCTGTCGTATCACCTGTCATTAGTTGACAACGCTTACAGGACACCACATAATCCATCATCTCACTTCTCATCCTGGGCCAGTAGGCCCTCTGCCGAAGTCCGTCGTATGTCTTGGTGCACCCTATAGGTGCCACCTCATGTCATTCAACGATGAGATTCCGTCTCAAGACGCGAGGTATCACGGGCATCACAACATCTGAATCAGTGGCGTTACAGGAAATTATGCCAGCTTCATTCAGCCTCAGCCGATCAAAGTGACTCTGGAACGCTTCTAATTCCTTGTCTCCCTCTCCGTTCTCAATGTTCCTTCCATCCAACAAGGTGGCTGCAACCTTTTGTAACACCGGATCCTGCCGATTCCGGATGCATCCAGATTCTCCTTCTTTCTCCTTACAAGCTGCTAACGGTACCCTCATTGCTAAATACGGCGAACGTTCCCTCACACTTGGCCTTGGACTGCGACGTGCGTTCTTTTGGCAGACGCCCAAACACCCATCATCAGTGCCGATTTCCTGACCCATTACAATCTATCTGTCGACGTGCGACAAAAAACGTCTCTTAGACACGCTTACTTCCCTCTCAGTCAACGGAATTAGTGCCCCAAATTCATTCACAATTTTCCGAGTTATCTTACCGGATTCACATTTTGCTCACATACTTGGGGATTTTCCAGCCCTTACTTACCCATGTCAGTAGACCCAACCGGTTACTCATTCCGTCGCTCACCACATTCAGACGAGAAGTCCACCTGTCCATGCCATCCCCCGCCGATTTCATCCGGATAAGCTCCAAATCGCGAAACACGAGTTCGAACACATCCTCGAACTCGGCATCATCCGCCCTTCATCGAGTCATTGGTCATCACCCTTACATATGGTACCTAAGAAATCCAAAGGTGATTGGAGTCCCTGTGGAGATTACCGTTCTCTCAACAACGCTACTATCCCAGACAGGTATGACGTCCCATATATCCACGATTTCGCCACACAAACAACTTTTCGCATTTTCATTTTTGCAGCACTGGGTGAGTAATTTTGGTATAGCTTCCACCGTTACAACCGATCGCGGTTCACAATTTCAGTGTAATCTCTTCCGGGAGTTTTCTACACTATTCGGTTTCCATCATATATGGACTACCGCGTATCAGTCCTGTTCTAACGGTTTGGTTGAGCGTTTCCATCGCTACCTCAAGGCTGCACTGACTGCCCAAATGAACATATCTTCATGGTCCTCTTCTTTACCTCTTATTTCGCTCGCTTTTCGCTCCACTATTAAGGAGGATCTTCACCGTTCCCCGGCCGAACTGGTATACGGTACAACTCTACGTCTACCCGGTGAACTAGTTTCCCCTTCTGGCTCACCCGTTACATTCTCCCCCCGTCTGAAAAAACACAAGTCCGAACTTTGTGCGACACCGACCAGACGATCAACGCGATCGGAGCACATCTCAACCGAACTCTCTTCTACACCATTCGTATTTGTCCGACACGACGCAACGAGGAAACCCCTCCAACTTTGTTATGGTGGCTCCTTCAAGATTATCGAACGTCACTCCAAATACTGTGTTTTAGAGAGAAGCGGAAAGTGTGATGCCGTCTCCATTGATCGTCTGAAGCATGCCTGCATCAAAGCACCCACGACCTTATCCAGCAATTCCGCTATTCCAACATCACCCACACCTACACACGGTAGCCTCTCTCCAACCTCACTTTTTCCACTAGTCGTTAAGGACGTCGCGTCCGTTTCCCTCAGCACTTAGCGGATTACGAAACTTGAGGTGAGCAAATTTGTGATTCGTTACTTTATTTATTTGAGCGTTTTCCCTTTTCACGGTCAACGATCTAGTGGGGGAGCAGTGTGACGTTTTGTACCTTTGTTTTACTTCCATGATAAGTCTACGTATTTCATCAATCGTATGATCGTTTTTTGTTTGAATACGAAAAACTACAAAAACGCGCACTTGTACAATTTCACGAAATACAGGCATGGTCACGTGCTTAAACTCACTCTTCTGATTTCGCTCGCGCCTGCAGCGTTCATTCGCGAGTCTCGTGTGCTAACTCTGTTATCAAAAGATTTCATTCTACGTGGGAACTGTTCAGGAGAAGACCCCTGGACCACCATAATTGGATTATTGTTTATTCGCTGACCTGGGCCAACGAAGAAATATTTTGAAGAGAACAGCTGTTAGTGAGTTTGTTCCCTCAGACTTTATTATTGTATATTCAACCTAGCGTTATTGTTTTATTTCTTTGCCACACACCTGGTAAACTAACTCATTGGGTAGCCAGACCACTATAAGGTGCCCTTATGTGCTTGGTGAAAACCGTTTTGTAATTTCTGATGTTCTTGCGTCTTTGTTGCCAAGTTGCCAAACTTGATATTCTTAAATTCCTGATGACGGTCATAGGATATATAAACTTTTAATCTGTTGTGAGGTTATTTCCTGTCTGATAAATACGCGCGTACATCATAATCGGCACTCAAACCCCTCTTGAGTGGAATACATTCAACTATCTAGTTTATATCCGTGACCAAGCGTTCCCACAAGGGTAGCATAAGATGGTACCCGGCAACATATCAAGCGATTCATATTATAAGCCAACCAGTATGAAAGTGACACATAAAAGAATGATGAGTAAAGCGGCAGATCAACATTTGAAAGCATGCAAAATTAAGTCGCCGTTTGTCATAGGACACACAAGCAAGCTTATTGCATGTTAAATATGTTCCACGAAGAAGCGCACATCAGACAGATGAAACTGAGTTCGCTGGACAACAAAATGTAACGTCCCGTGTCCACCGACAATGCGAATCCATGTTATCTCGTAGCCCTGTAAGCAGAAAAAGCATCTAAAGATTTGAAATGTGTTTTGTTGCGGTACCAGAGTAGAACTGCCTTTCTGATCTATAGCACACATATCAAATGATTTCAAAGACTAAAACCGCCGAGAAACTAGCCATCGATCATTACCAGTCAACGTAATCAAAAACTAAACCAAATTTATGGTTCAATATCTTAGGCAGGCTATTCGCGAAGCGTTAGAACCACACTCGCATTCACAAACTTAAGCAGAGGCATCTATCCAGCCGAGAATGCTTACCATGCCCACATATAATTGCAAGTCTTAAACTAATTTGTTTTACTCTTAATCTAAAGGGTTATTTTCTGGTTGTTACTGGCAGAGAAAGCTTAGCAGAACAAAACAATGTGCATTTCGTGTTAGCGTAAAATGTGTAAGGACATTTCTTGATGTTTTCGAAGTTGACGTTGTTTAATTCATTATCGGCAGCACAATTATCTGCTCGTTATTTTCACAGCTTTTTCCCGAACGTTTTACGTAGGAAACCATTTACTTGCAATTTACGCCATGCCTTGCGTTTTGTGGCTTCGCCCGTGAATGCTAAAGTAACTGGCGGGTGCACGAATACCGATAATTTTGGCTGTCTATACTGGTGGCTCGCCGGACGAACTTAACTGTATGTTTACTACTGCCACAATTTTGCTGCGATAATTTCCAAGCCTCTACCTTTGTACTCAAAATCGTAACCACAAAGCCAACCTGATATAAAAGAATGAAATATATGCGGTCATTCTTTGCAACCGGTAAGATTTTTGTTGTCCCTGTTGCTAATCAAAACAAGCTACTGTAAAACTAATCCGCAGATTAGAACACTGGGGAAATCTACGGCAATATCACGCCGTAGAATAATTTATTTTCGACTAAAAGGGCAGATGATGGCAAGTTGTCTGCTGGATTATTGGGTGTGGGCTAGCATTTGCTTAATTTGAAATTGAAATTACTGACTTTTCGCTCATGAAAAATAATACTCACCAACGTTCTTACACTTACACGAGAGCGATAGGGAAGAGGAAGTAAACAGCGACCCCTTGACCGAGCAGTCGTTGAGCTTTAGTGGCAAAAGAATAAATGTGGTCCGTGAAGGTCTTAGATAAGCAAGGATAAATAAATGTTGAAACTAGGCCGCGTTAGTCGCTGTGCAATTAGTAAGAGACAGACGCCTTGCTTAATATTGACTCGGGACGAAAAATTGTAGGAACAAAGTCTGTTAGTAAACACCTCGGTTTCCGAAATCTTAGAATTCCAAAACTAAACATTCGAGTGGTTCCGTTACTGGACGGCGCATATATCGAATCCAAAAAATAGCTACATAAACCGCACGTCCCTAATGACCAATATGCGCAGAAGTTGAATGCACCATTAATAAACCAGCTGTCTTGACAAAAACCCTGAAATGAAAAGGGGTGCGATTGGTTAGAATGGCGTCGCGCGTCATATTGTGCAACAGATTTTTGTGTCTTTGGATTTGACTAGCCCCCTTAACTTTGGGAAACGGCGCATGATGAAATTTGCCCAAGGAGGGACTCGAAATTTGTAGCTACCCGTAGAGGGCATGCCACAGCAGCGAATGAAGCTGCCTTCGAATTGGCGTGAAGAAAATCATTACACATTTTTATACTACACAAAAGCGTTTCAAAGCAGCACACCTGTTGCATTCAAAAATTCCGCAACTTAAATCAATATGTAAATCCAGCTATATTTGCAAGTTTTATCAGAGCTTCGTTTTTATTTGTAATTACCTACGCGGTGTTTGTGACTCTCTACTTTCCCTATATAAAAGCAGAATGAATTCCACAGAGGAACCGCAACCGGCATACTCGTGAGGTATAAAAAATACTTCAACACATTTTA